TTGAAGACAGCAAATTTATTTTCCCACTCTTCTTTTACTGCATCATCAAGGTACTAACGGAAGAAGCCCCGACGCTATTGTTTTAGCTATTGTTTGTTCACAAACATTGGTTCTCGTTAGCTCTTGGCACCTTTTTACAATGGGTTACGCTAATCTCGAGCATTTGGTAATATTCAGAGTATGTTCGAAAGCTGGATAGACGAATTGCGCATGTACAAGATTGTAAATGACGTCTAGTTGGAATGTTGTTGTTTCCGGAGATCTTGGCGAATTTTAATGAAAAATTGGCAGATATAACATCGGTTGAAGAAGAACTGATGATTTTTTTTTTAATTGTAATGGTGATATGTAGTAATGAATGATTGCCTGTGACAATAACGCCTGGGTTTGATGCCCGAAACTGTTTGAAATTTTTGACTACTGGGCATCGGCAAACACCACCAGAAAAGATAGTATCGAAAGAAGGGCTTGCCTTGACACTTTTCCTGCGATAATATTTTTAGGAGTTCTTGTTCTTGTTACAATTGCTAATAATGAAAACATGTGAAATCAAACCTTCATCTGTTGAATTTTCGGTTGTTAAATGCGTATTTTGACCTTTCACATAAACAAACAAGAGTGCGCATGTGTGATGGCCGTAGTTTCATAACGCGCATATATTTTATGGTCATGTTAAAAATCGGCGAGGTTATATCATATTTCACTAACTCGTTACTTGTGTAAACAATCACAAACTATCATGGACATCAATGTCCTTATCAGGATTAACTTGGGATGAAACAAAAGAAAATAAGCCAGTTAGGAGGCTTAAGTGGCCACTTGAGAGGTGTCCTGGCTCCTTCTGTTAGTATCTTCCATGATTGGACTTATTTTCCATTACTATGGAGGTCTGGACTGCTGACAGTTCATTTGCATATTGTTCTTGCAATGTACTGTTAGTTTGTTCAAGTTCATCAACATTGTTTTTTGTAAGTGTACTGACCTCTCTTTCAAGTTTGTTTATTTTGGCACTAAATTCCTTTTCATGTTTGTTCATTGTCTCTACTGCAGAAGACCAAATATGTAATGAGATGCTAAGATGCGGTGAACATTTACTACGTTCACATTACGAATCTCGGCACGTGCTGAAATTTTTAATCCGTTGTGTTTGCAGAGGGATTACAGCAGTTGCGTTCACGTTATTCAGGACCCACTTAGGACCGACTGGGCTCGTGCTGAAATCACGCCCTCAGTCGTCGATCTGTTGCTCCAAACATGGAAACCGATACACATATGATGATAATAATTGTTATAGTGAAATTATATCCATTTGTTGCAATGGTGTTTATTACGAGCCATCGTGCACATGAACGGCAAAGAAGGTTCGAAACAATTATTTTTTTCATGTCAATGTAAAATGTGCAAGAAAATAGAGGTTGCAGCAGCACATAAATGTGCGTCGCTGACGACGGTTTGCATTCATTACATTCATTACTACAGCATCCGACCATATATACTAGTATATCTGAATTTTCTGTCATCGTCATTTCATACTAGTATCAATCAACTTATGTTTTTCTTAAATTTACCACCGAGGGCGTGATTTCGGCTCGTGTCGAGCGTTCAGGCAGAAAATCTTGGCACGTGCCGAATTTTGGTCCTAAGCATCTATCAGGACCGAGATCGAGTTCTTTTCGGCTTGTGCCGACTCGGCCCGACCGTTCACACACAATTTTCCGCACGTGGAGACTCGGTCCCGAGTCTCGGCACGTGCCGAGATCTCTAACGTGAACGGCACTATTACCTCATCAAACCTATTAAAAAAATATTTAACTCTATCTACAATGCAAATATCTTCCTAACTGCATGGAGTACAAGTTTAATAATACCCATACATAAAGCAGGATCTAAATTAAATCCCTCAAACTACAGGGGAATAGCAATCTCCAGTTGCCTTGGCAAACTATTTACAAGTATCCTTAATACAAGGCTAACCACTCTCATTGAGAAAAATAACATTTTGTCACACCAACAGTTTGGTTTCAGAAAAGGTTGTCGTACAACTGACGACCTATCTATATTGAAAACAATTATTGAAAAACATCTCAACAACAATCATGAAACAAGCATGAAAATACAGTGAATGAAAAAAAAAGTAGCTAAAGCAAACAAACAAAATTTATGCCTGTTTTGTAGACCTGAAAAAGGCTTTTGATAGTGTTTGGCATGATGGTCTATTCTGGAAACTATTAAACAATGGGGTGACAGGTAAAATGTATCAAATTATTAAAAGTATGTACAGTAATATAAAATATAAAAT